CTTACTGCCAAAACTTAACATCCGACAAAAATTCAAAACAGAGATCCAAATTAAACCAATCAAATTAAACGAAAGTTCGGTCAATCATAGTTCTCAATGCACAGATTTAAAAGTCAATGGGACCAAGGTCTTCTTCTTCTTCTTCTTCTTCTTCTTCAGCCTGTGTTCGTCCACTGCTGGACATAGGCCTCTTCCATTTGCTTCCATCGATTTCTACTTTTGGCAATTCTCATCCACTGCTTGCCCGCGACTTGTTTGATATCGTCTGTCCACCTCTTCTGCGGTCTGCCTACTCCTCGCCTGTTCTCTCTTGGTCTCCAGTTTGTTAATCTTTGTGTCCATTTTTCGGGATTATCTCGGGCAACGTGTCCGACCCATTGCCACTTGAGCCTTGCAATACGTTCTGAGACATCAGTAATTTTTGTTCTTTCACGAATGACGTTATTTCGAATCCTGTCTCTCAAACTAATCCCTAGCATGGCCCTCTCCATTGCTCTTTGGGTTGTACTGAGCTGCTCTAAGGTTTTCTTTGTGAAGCATGTCTCCAGTCCATATGTAGTTACAGGCAAGATACATTTGTCATAAACTTTACGTTTTAGACACATTGGTATATCTTTATTCTTCAAAATAAAGCTTAATTTGCCGAAAGCTCCCCAAGACAGTTGTATGCGTCTTTTTATTTCGGCTATTTGATTTTCTTTGCCGATTTTAATGGTATGTCCAAGATATATATAGTGGTCTACATTTTCAAGACTGACGTTGTCAATAACAAGATTAGTTTGTAAATTACTCATTATTTTTGTTTTCTGAAGGTTCATTTTGAGACCTATTTTATTTGACTGCTGGTTTAATTCCTTCAACATTTGCTCCAGTTCCTTGATATCTGTACTAAATAATACTATGTCATCCGCAAACCTCAAATGACTCAAACGTACACCATCAATGTTTACACCTTTTTCCTCCCAGTCAAGCTGTTTGAATACATTTTCCAATGCTAAGGTAAAAAGCTTTGGTGAAATAGTATCACCTTGTCTAATACCTTTATCAAGGCGCATTTTTTCAGTTTTTTTCGTCTTCATTGATTTTGATGTGGAATGTGGCCTGTTCATAAATGTTTTTAATGAGTGTAGTGTACCGTGAGTCTATTCGAGCATCCTTCAGGGCTGACAAAAAGGACCAAGTCTCAATACTATCGAAAGCCTTGTGAAAGTCGATAAATGCCATATGTAAAGGTACATTATATTCTGTGGTTTTTTCTACTAGTGTTCTGATGGTTTGTAAGTGATCATTAGCGCCAAACCCTTTTCTAAATCCCGCCTGTTCAACCGGTTGATATAAATCAAGTTTTTGTGTTATGCGGTTGGTTATTATTCTTGTTAACAATTTGTATAAGTGTGACAACAAACTAATAGGTCTGTAGTTTTCAATATTAGTAGTGTCTCCTTTCTTGTGTAAAAGTATTATTTCGGCGTTTTCCCATAGGCTGGGTATTCTTTTTTCTGTTAGACACTTATTCAGTAAGACTTCCACAACTTCTACAACGATGTTGCCGCCCATTTTTAACATTTCAGACGTTATACGATCCTCGCCGGGAGCTTTTTTGTTTTTCATTTGCTGTAAGGCATGTCTAATTTCCGAAGAGGTTATTTTAGGGAGGGTTTCTGAGCCGACGTTTAGAATTGTTCTGTGGTCTGGTTCGGGGTTCTGTATAGTAGATGTATAAAGATTCTTATAGAACGTTTGTATTTCCTTGATTATTTGAGTTTTTTCGGTCACCGTATTCCCCTGTTGATTTTTGATTTTAGTTATATTTGATTTTCCTTTAGTTAAATTTGATTTCAATACTCTCATGTTTCTATTGTTTTCGATGGTTTGCAATATTTGTTTTGTTTTATAAGCCCGCAAGTCTGACCTTATGCTCTTTTTAACTTTATTGTTGATAGCTTTATACTCTGGTAATTCTTTCGATGTTCTTCTTCTTTCTTCCATTAAATTAAGTGTTGTTTGTTTCAGTTTCGTTTTTCTGGGATTTTTATTTTTATCACAGATCTTTTTTGCAGTTGATGTTATGTCGTTCGTTAATTTTTGTGTTATTTCATTTATATCTTTCGTGTTGAATACTGGTAGAGGCCCTAGTTTCTTTTTTAGTTCACTTTGATATTCCTCTTAATTCATTTCGAGTGCTTCTATGTTTGGCAATTTATCCTGTGTTAATAATTTTCTTCTATCTAATTTCGTATTTAGACCAAGACCATTTCAGACCAAGGTCTGAAAAACTATTATTCTGAAGCTACAACCTTCTGAGGTTATTGAATTCAGGTATTCAGTGTACGTTAAGTGCACTTGTTCACAGTCCAGTGAACGAAAATATTTAGTTGTGAAAGAAGATAGATACTTTTCTTGATGCTTTACGCTGAATATAAATTCCTAATCAACAATACATGAATTGTATTTTACTGTTCAGAAAATCGTCGAAAAGTCTTCGAAAAACTGAAAAACACTGATAGGAAATATGCCGCTAGAGCCACATAAAAATTATCATGTTTTTACTAATACTACAGACTTATCTAATAACAGCATAACGGCAGTTCCGCCTTATCCTTCACAACACTACTAAAGCGCCTACAAAAAACTAAGAAACGAACAACAAGTGCTACTAGAGCGGAACAAGACGTCTCACGTTTTCAATTTGCCTTCTTAGTTTGATAGCTAAATTGTCCGAATAGCTTGTAAAAGGCCGCCTTGAGTGAGAGCTAGAAGAAAAGCATGCGTTGAACGACCGCCAATATGGTTTTAGGACCAAAAGGTCCACCATAGATGCAGTCGCAGAAGTAACCTCTTTAGTTACGCAGAATACAAAGAGCAGGGTGGCTCTCATCCTGCTTGACGTCAAGAATGCCTTTAATACGGCATCATGGGAAAAAATAATGTCCAGGCTGAGAGAATTGGGCGTTAGTGAGTACCTGGTCAATGTAATTGACATACTTTACTAAAAGGTCCATAAGAGAAAAAGATACAAGCATCAGTTTGTCGCAGGGTATTCCGCAGGTTTCAGTACCAGGTCCCATACCGTGGAATGTCCTGTACGACGGATAAGAGAATCGAAATTTGGAGGCGTTCATACGGCTGATGGCAAACATTGGAGGCCCAGGTAGTACCAAAAAAAAAGTTGTTAAATGGAGTTTTCCAGTCGGTGGTAACCTGCGCTGCACCCGTGTGGTGTAGCGTACTAAACACTGCGAAATACGCTAAGCTAATGGAGACTTCGCAAAGGCGAATGCTCCTCAATGTATACAGTGCATGTAGGACAGTTTTAAATAAGGCTCTTTATGTCATTGGAGCGGTGATAAGGATCGTTTTGTTGTGCAAAGAGTGAGCGAGGGTGTATGCGAAGAGGATGGATGAAAACTAAGAAGCTGTGAACTGAATATAGATGAGAATGAGAGAGAAAGAACGATGGTAGATTGGGAGAGAGAATGAACGGATGATAGCGGAAAGGCAAGGTGGACGAAGGAGCTTATTTCCGATCTGAGGTTGTGGTGGAAATGTAAGTTCTGGAAAGTAGACTACTTTCTGACGTAGTTTCTGACAGGACCTGGTAGTTTTGGCACCTTCACAAATAGAATAGGCAAATCTGCCTCGGCAGACTGTACTGTTTGTGGGGTACCGTACGCTCCCGCTTACATTTTTAACTGCCAGAGGTGAGCAAATGAGAGGGGAGATTTCGTGAGGCGAATGGGTTTCGGAAAATTTTTTGTTTTTTACTTTAGTTGTTCTTTGAGTGGCAAGACCATCTCTCTGGAACGTTGGTTAAGTTTTTAACAGGAACACGGTTAATTCGGCACTACGCTGGGGTCTTCTGGCCTAGTATCCTACTCGGCCAAAATATGCCAGTCTTGTTCCGTGACGTAGATGTCTAAAAAAAATTTCCCCCACCGTTGCCTGTCAGAATTCAATGGATACCTTCTTAGAGTCTTACTGGAATCTGGCAATACGGCAATTCATAATAATTATTTACTAATATGCCGATAAACGTCTGATGGCATTCTTACTGCTCGATAGACACTAGATTATTTCTAAATTGAACTAAACGGTAGCGGCAACCATGTAAAATTTCATTAGTAAATTCTTACCGGGTTCATTTTTATTGTGTATGCTTCGCCCATGTAAATATGTAAATTTGTAACCCATGTAAGATAAATTTGACCCCGTATCAATATAAATTGGTAACAATATGAATTGGATGCACGAGTGTATAGTGAGACAAGTTCATTTAATAGTTTGAATTATCGGTAAAGTTATCAATATTTTGCTGGTCTATATATATTTACGTTCTTAGAAAGAAGGTTAATGAGAGAAATATGATATCTTAGTTTATTCCTTCCAGATTATATACATATGTGCATAGGCGTAGTGTGTTCTTGGGAAAATTAGTTCAGAATTCCCAACGGCAACATGTTTTAGAAAGCTATAGGCAACCAGTAAAACATCCGTGTATCTATTAACCATAGAGTTATGCTAGTTCTAAGTGTGTTGGGAGTACCATTAGAAACCACCTGGGTGACGCCGGGTTAAAGGTGTAATTACATTAACAATTCACTGATTGATACAACTTTTCCAGGTAGAAGCAATAATATTCTCAAGGGGTTATGGTAAAATAACTTATAGACAATTTAAGCTTAAATTTAGTTATGCGACTTAATTGTACGCGACGAAATTATTAATAAAAGCGAAAATCCAACAAGCTGAACATAAACAAACTTGATTTAGAACCTTTCTTTAAATGCAAATGACAATATTTGTAATTTAAGTATGTTTCTCTTATGTAATCTGTTGGTTTTTGGATCTGATACAATCAAATAGGCAGGCAACTTAATTTAAAAAATTAATCTAGTTTTTAAATGCATCTTAGCACATTTTTAAATATAACCGTTCCGCAATAAAATTATCTTCCACCTCTACAACATTGTAACAGCTGGATATTGCGTTGCGTCATCGCCCGAGTGAACCCTCATGTTATGTTCATTTTATGTCAAGCAAGAAGTGAAATATGTAAGGGGGCTACATTGTGTTGTGCATTTACTAGATGGCTGACATTTCCGTATATCTATAAAGAAAACATCACAAGAATTTTTAAAACGAATGTAAATATTCCAAACACAATAACAAATGTAAAGGATATAAATTTTCCAACAAATACGGAAATGTATAAAGACGTCCATTTTGCTTTTATCTCCGGCGGACTAGCGGCAACTGGCAGTGCGTTCGGAAAGCTGTCGGGGTTGCCTGACTTCGAGGTAAGTTTTGTAGTTTTTTTGTGGATTAACTGCTCAGTTTTATTTCACAATAGTTTTTTAACGCAACTATTTTTATCTTTAAAAAAGAATGCAGGTTAATTATAAACTGAAAAATCAAAAGATGGAATATGATTTAAAATATGTACATTTAGGTACTTATATGATAGAAATTAAAATAAATTTAAAGATTCACTTAATCAAAACACTGCGCATAATCCGAATGAGAATTTTTAGATCTAGATTACTTATAGAAAATATTTTTGTTTATAAATAGAGATTCATTCTCAGTATTTTACATAAGTGAATATTTTACTTGGAACTAATAGAACTCACTAAAAATGTTCTCAGTACCAATGGGAATACAAGGAATACCGAAAACACAGTATCTTAAGGATACGAGAATAAAAATACAGTAAGTTATCAGGGAAAGGTACCTTTTCTTGCATAATATTCTCCAGCACTATTCTCTTCTAAGCTCACAGTGTTGGATCCGATTCGCTATTCTTTGATGCTAAGTTAATGGCGGTTGTTCTCTACATAATCTTGTCGTCTCTATCCTCAGAGTTATCGACTTTGCGGATTGCGGCAGTAAACAATTTTTGATCTAGTTCTAGGTAACCCAGCTACTTTAATCTAGCTCTTTTGCGTGTATACGCCATTGCCTCTGCACGCTTAAGTACCGTCTCGTAGGTTATTCTAATAAGATCTACTGATTAATTAAGTTTAAAATATATAGGGGAGCAGGGGGGAACTGCGCTCACTTAAGCCAAAACTTGTTTTTTATTTACTTACTTCATTCAAAAAGCCTTGAAAATTAATTTGAGTAAAGAATACTTATTCTTCTAGCATTTGATTAAGAAAACTGCACTAAAATTATTTATGTTTGTTGGTTAGAACAACAAAATATAATTAGTGCCTTGAGCGCAATTACCCACACCTATGGGGTAATGGCGATCATTAATTTACAGATAGTTATAATATAGATTAACACTAAACAGCAACTAATATTAAAATATTTATTGAACAAATGAATAAAATAAACATTAAACTCCAAACAAAATTCACAAATTGCGTCAAAAAGTTAAAATAGCAGTTAAAACTAAGAATGAAAAATAAAAATCCTTTCACTGACAGTTGTCGCACACATAACCCTCAGCCTTATTAACTCCGCTGCATTCTGCGTGCGCCCAGCCTCCGCAAATTACGCAACGAAACCACAACTCTCGATCTCGACCGAATTCGCCACAAAGGAAGCAGATATTATTTTCCGTATCTTGCATATCTCCTATCTCGTCAGGTTCATTGTCATCAGTAATTCCAGTCATGCTGACATCTGAATCTTCACTAGAACTGTCATCAAATTTGACCTTCTTTGTCACTTTGCGTACTTTTTCCTCTTTGATTTTAGTGGTTTTCGATTTTTCAATTTTTTCATTCTTCTTCTTATGTTTTTCTTCCAAAAAATCTTTCATTGGTGTTGATGTTAGTATTGTAGATGTCTGTTTCTTTCTATCAACTTGCCTTTTATTTGCTCTATTGTGTATTGTAGGAAGAGGTGTGATATTATGTAATGATGTTTCAAGGGCTTGAAGTTTATCGGTAGCAGCATTTCCGCTATTTTTGTTAGAGGATTTTGCATCATTGGATGAATCATTGGTTATTCTATTTACAGATTGGGAAATTGTTCTACTGGTAGAAGGCTGCTGTTCATCTGCGACAGTATTTGTCGTGTTATCCACAGTATGGTCATTTTCTTGATCATTAAAATCTGGAAAATCGTCATTGAATATGAAGGGGTTTAAAGGATATATACCGGCAGAACTAAACCCTTTAATAGCCTTTTCAATGGAGGCAACTTTTCCATAGGCCTTGTTGAATAATTCAGCAATCTCATAATTTGTTATTTTTTCTAAAGGCTTTGATTTCATAAATAAATCGCATTCACGATTGTAAGCTTTTTTTAGAGGACCGTAAAAACAAATATCCAAAGGCTGTAGTCGATGCGAGGTATGTGGAGGGATAGAGAGTAGAACTATTCCATTTTCACGACAGAAGTTGTAACAATCGAGAGAAATATGGCTGCTGTGATTGTCGGTAATCAAAAGAACGGGATTGTCGTTTGTAGCATTTGAATGTTTTGTAAAATGTTTTAACCACTCACAAAACAATTCCTCCGTGATCCAACCAGATTTTGAGCATTTGTATATTGATCCAGGGGGTCCATTTTTTTGTAGCTGAGGAGTCATTCTTTTTCTTGCGAATATAAACATGGGAGGAATAAAAGCTCCAGAAGCACTAAACGCACAGCAAACGGTGGTGGTTTGGCCGCGTTCTCCACTTGTCACTATCCCTACCTGTTTTTGTCCTCTGGGTGCTAGTATTTGCATGGGCTTATGCACCGTACTAATCCCTGTCTCATCCATATTGTAAATCGATGAAGGATCAAATTTATAGCGTTCCATGACATTTTCCAAGTTACGAAAAAATGTTGCTACGTTTTCCTTAGAAAACCCTTTAACTCGGTTAAGACTAGTTGCCTCTGGCTTTCTAAGGCTAATTTGTGGATTTCTTTTTAAAAATCTATGTAGCCAATCTTTCCCTGCTAACTGAGTTGCTTCATTAAACATATTTTTTATGTTATTTGCTTTCGCAAATTGAAAAGCAATCCTTCTGAATTCAAGAGCTGTGAGTCCGTAAAATTGATTTGATAATTTTAAAACATGACTCTGAATTAACCTTTCTTGTTCTGTAGAAAATGTGGACCTTCTTCCGAGTCGAGGGTCATAATAATTATCTTTAAGTCTATCTCGAAGGGAACTGTATGGCACTTGGAAAGTACGTGTCACTTCCCTAATTTTTCTTCCGGACCTCACAGCTTCTATGGCAGCTATCATTACTTCTGGTGACCATTGTGCTTTAGTGGTTGTCCTTTTTCTATTACGAACCATCTGAAACCAAATAATTATGTATAATTAATCATAATTTTTAAGATTAACAGCCAAATGCCAGTTGGGGCAATGCCGCTCTCTAACGGGGTAATCACGATCAGCTTGAGCGGAATTGCCCCAAACTGAAAGCTTCAACAAATGTGGTGACACAATTTTTCTAGGTTACAATAAGTAAATAGTGTTCATGCTAAAATACATCCAAGACACATCTCATTGAATAAGTATATGATATAATACTACAAAATAACGTTATTACAATTTACCTTCAGATATTTGCGACAAAAATATTACAGTAAAATCACAAAATTTCACGTTTTCTGTCAGAACCGCCGACCGATGCTAAATATCGACACAGTTATGCTTCCGATTAGTTCGGGAGGGCTCCGAGGAGGCAATGACATCAAACGGGACGTAGTAAACTCGACTGGGCTAGGTAAACTGTGGTGAGCGTCATTCCCCACTGAGCGCCATTCCCACCTTCTCCCCTATACCTAGATTTTATATTAGTCAAGCTAATCTGTATCTATATATTGTTACAGGGCTACATTTTAATAAGGATTATATTTTTCGCTCTGATGTTATCTACAAATACAGCATCTTTAACATTTTTTGTTAAGGCCTTGCAAAAAATTGCGTCAATTAATGCTACACTAATCTGTTCTGCTACAAATTACATTATAACAGTAAGTATAACGATTCTTCTTCTGATTCGCAAGTTTTTCTTTATTTCATATTACTTCATCTCTAGACATACAACCAGTCATACAAATAATCTACAAAATGGAGAAATTTGAAGAAATGCAGAATAAGATCCAGATGCTATAGTTTTATGTATAGGTATCTCCAAAATCTTACAAAGATTTCTTTTCATAAAACCTCCAAGAAGCTCTTGTAGGTCCTACAAAAATAATAATAATAATAATCGATGAAGTAGTATTTCATTCTGATGGCCTTGGAGGAAATTTAATAACGACAAATGGTCGAACGAATGAATTATTATTGTAACAAATACTGTATTAGGGCGAGCGCCCATCAAAGTGGCGTGGCAAGTAGCACGTAGCAAGTAGCACGCGTCTAGAATGTTTCTTAAAATGTAACCAATGAAAACAAATGATTAGAATGAATGACGTCACTGTCATTTTGGTGTACGCTGAATCATTCGTTTTCATTGGTTACATTTTATGAAACATGCTAGACGCGTGCTACTTGCTACGTGCCACGCCACTTTGGTGGGCGCTCTCACTTAGAAAACCTAAAGAAAATCAAATGTATATTATTAAACGAGACACGAAATCAGGAAGGAGATTTGATTGTTGGTGAAACAGTAGTTGAAAAATTATACTACAAATATATGAAAACTTGGACAATTGATCACTGTGATCGGGATAAGGAAATAAGAAGTATAATATATATTGCACGTACAGTCTTAAACAGTATGAGGCAGTTTGTTTGCAACCGAGACTCACATCTTGGTCTCCAATCTGTATGTAGTGCTGCTATGTGTTCTTCACTCTTTTGTATAATATTGAGGGAACGATCTTAATCAGGACAGTAATAAAAAGAAGAAATGTTCAATATTTGGGATGTATCATAAGTTAGGACTAATACTTAAGTACTACTAAGAAATATCATGCAAATAAAATAAAGTGAAAAACAAGTATACATAATTTTGTCTGTGATCAATGTGCAAGTTAAGAGATTTTTAAGATGAACAAAGAAACACGAACATGTTCTTTTTACGAAATTTTACATACCTAAAAAAATCATCAGAAAAAGAAGAAATTTTGAACTGAATAAAATTTATAAATACTGACAATAAGGAATCCCAAGTTGTTCTACACTATAGTGTATTTTTATGTATGAGAGAGTAATAAAACAATAAATTATGTATGCAAATCCCTAAACTGTTGATACGGGTGACTCAATGAAAAACAGATATTTGTCAACAAGTTTACAGAAGTATATAGGAAAACAATTTTAAATTGAGTATGACCACCAGGTATAAAGGTTGGAGCAGAATAGAATACAATAGTTGTGAGGGTTACTAATCCCTAAATAAGGTTGCCAGTGTCGGAGTGATGGAGGTTAACAGGTACTAATGAATTTGCAAGAAATGTAAGATGTTTATTTTATTGGTTATATATAACCAATAAAAGTTTAATAAGTACCTACCTATTTGCAAAATAAGGTTTAATTCTTTAGATAAAATAAAACGTTTTATTTTATCTGAAATGAGTGCATTCCACGAAGTAAGGGTTTCAACAATCAAACATTTAATTCTTTAATTCCAGGAATCTACGACAGTAATTTACTAGATAATTACCTTCTAAACTTATTCCACAGAAAATGTAATAGTGGGTTTTTCCATTTTGTAGGAAGGTCCAAGTGGCGTATTCAAAATTCTTAACAGTTCACTAAAAGTAGGTACTTCAGTTGCAAGGTGCAGTTTATTGTGTATACTAGTGTTATGGAAAATTTGGAAGTGCCGTGTAAACGCCGAAAAATTGGTCCTTTAACAGTTAATGAAAAAACATTAATATTTAATTGTTTTAAATCATTTACAGACAAACGTTTATGTGAAAGTGTTGAAGAGACCGTTGAGTTAGTTAGCAGTACACTTGGTGTTGGGAAATCTACGATTTACAGAGTTACTAAAGACGAGAAATGTGGTAGTTTTCAAATGCCACGTAATGCTCCAGGGAAACCAAAATTTCAAATAGAATATCATTTTAAAGAAGGACTTCGACGGAAAGTGCATGAATTCTTCTTTAGACAAGAATTTCCAACATTGGATAAAGTTCTTGTCTCAGTTCGAGATGATAAGGATTACCCAGAAATGAGTCGAAGTACGTTATGGAAACTTTTAAAAGAAATAGGCTTCCGCTGGAAAAAGAATCCCAGAAAGTCTATTTTATTATAAAGAAGCGATATTGTCATATGGAGAAGACATTTTCTAAGAACCTTAAAGGAAATGAGAAACCAAAAAAGAAAAATATTTTATCTTGATGAAACATGGATCAACGAGGGTCATACACCAAATAAATTTTGGTAGGATAAAACTGTTACAAGTCAAAGGCACGCTTTTGTAAATAACTTATCTACTGGTTTAAACCCACCATCAGGAAAGGGACGCAGGCTGATAATAGTACACATTGGCAGTTCAGACGGTTTTGTTGAAGGTGGTTTATTAACTTTTGAATCAACTCGTACCGGTGACTACCATGAAGACATGAACGCTGATGTCTTTCAAGAATAGTTCGAACAAATGATAGATCTTCTTCCTAAGAACTGTGTAATAGTAATGGATAATGCAAGTTATCACTCCAGACCTATAGAAGGACTGCCCACAACCAAGTGGTTAAAAAAAGACTTGCAGAATTGGCTGAGTTCAAAAAATATTACGTACCATCCCGGATCTATAAGAAAGAAACTTTATTCGTTGTGTGCCCTTCATAAAGAAAAATTTAAAAAATACGAAATTGATGAAATTGCCAAAAATCGTGGAATGACAGTACTTAGATCCCCACCATATCATTGTGAATTAAACCCGATTGAACTGGTATGGGCACTGATAAAGAGTGAAGTTTCAAGAAAAAATACCACTTTTAAAATTCATGATGTTAACCAGTTGTTTTTGGAGGCCGTAAATAATGTAAAACCTGAAAACTGGGAAAAGGCAGTAAATCACACTATTAAAGAAGAGGAAAAAATGTGGAAGCTGGACAATATTACTGATAAAATGATCGAGCCAGTTATTATAAATCTTGGTTCTGAAAGTTCATCTTCTGAATCTGATTTGGATTTGTAACAAGTAGCTGTAAGTTTTATATTAATATTTTTATTCATATATTTAACATACCTTAGACGGTTTTAAAAACTCTTTTTCTCTTTTGTAATTTTTAAAAATTAAAAAAAATGTGAATTTTTTAAAACCCTTTTTAATGTAGGCCAGTCAGTTCTAATATAGTGTGTGATAAAAGAGGTCACTTTTCTTTACATACATATAACACTTTATAACACTGAAATAATTCATTTATTTTTTACAATTATTCAAAGTAATTTTTCAATTAATCTTGAGCACGCCCATGGAGTGGTCGGAGGTACCAGTTAAAATTATGCTAATTACTCTCTCGTTCATAAAAATAAACTATAAAGATGGAATATATATTTAGTTTATGAAAGAGTTTATTTCTTGTTTAGTAATAATTAAAATTTTTTCCAGGCTTTATTTGGTTTCTTCATTTTTAAAGAGACCACATCTTTGTTATGGTGGTTTGGAATATCCTTAATAATGATAGGATTAGTACTTATAGTATCTAATACATCCAAAGAAGATAAAACGGGCAAGAATGAATGACAGTATTAAAAAATAAAAATTTTATATACTTGTTAATATTATAATAAAATAGTTTTTTTATACAAATTTCTTATACAATACTAATCCGATTTTTCGACCTGTTCTCTTTTTAACATACATAAAATATTGATCCAAACAAATGAACATACTCCGATATATGTGACTCTGTAAACCGCTGGAACCACCATGAAGTTCACTAATTGGGCCGGTAACCAAAAACAGCAACTGGTTTTAAATGTAGGTATAAACTTTTGCCTGCATTCTTCGAAAATATCTTTTTTACCTTCCATTATGCTCATGGCTGAAAATAAAATAAAGTATATTAAAATAAAATATACAGTGTATTCATAAAGTGTGGAAACAGTCTATTATCTCATAACTTAATTATTTTCAGAGTTAAAGCTCTAACAGGTCGATTTATATTTTTGTTTTTTAAAATTTTTTGGAAAAAAAACTTTTACCTCCACTATCTTAACAGATGTGACGTCAACGATATTTTTTTAAATAGAAAGGGTATATTTTATATATAAAAGTCCATATTTTTCAAAGTACAACCGTACCCAACTCATCACATTTAAACCTCAGTATACAGAGTGTAAAGGAAACCAGTCCTCGTATTTTTTTTAATTTAATTCAAAATTTATTTCACAAAGAAAATTAATTATAATAAAGACAAACAAAAATAACATAATTACAACAAATGCTGGAGTGGAGTGACCTATTGTTGTACATTCACATGATAATGGATTTGTAATGGGTTGTTTAACATGTATAAAAAAGTAAAAGAAGCGGCTGGTATCTTCAATAAGAATCAAACTTCATTGCTACAGGATGAAAAGGGAAAAGTAATATTCGAAGTAGAGGACAAACTTAAAGAATGGGAAAATTACGTCACGAATCTATTCGAAGACGATAGGAGTAGTTCACCTCCCGATATTACTAACTGCGACGGACCCCTAATAACACGCTGTGAGGTTATAAAGGGCACACAATCATCAAAAAATGCCAGAGCGACTGGTCCTGATGAAATTCCAACTGAAAATATAAGCTTATAAATGATTGCAATGTTTTTGAGGCTATAACTTCGTTTTTCAATACCATTTATATCAGCGGACAACTACCTAATGGTTGATCTAACTCACTGTTTATAGCTCTACCTAAGAAGACAACAGCACAAACTTGTGCTGATTATAGAACCATCAGTTTGTTAAACCACTTATTGAAAATTTTTCTGAAGGTAATACATGGTCGTATCTACAATAAATGTGAGGAATACCTGGATGAAACTTACTTTGGTTTCCGTAACAAGTTTGGAACGAGAGAGGCACTGTTTGGAATGAACGTACTTGCTCAAAGATGTCGTGATATATCTGTAGAGATATACTGTTGTTTTATTGACTTCCAAAAGGCATTTGATCGGGTTAAGCACTCTATATTGATCGAAGCTCTAAAAGACTTTGGCTTGGACGGCAGAGATGATCGAATAATTACAAATTTATATTGGAATCAAACGACATCAGTTTTAGTAGATGGTGTGGAATCACAAGCTCTCAATATTAAAAGAGAAGTATGGCAGGAATGCCTCTTGCCACCCCTGCTTTTTAACGTTTACTCCGAAAGAATTTTCAGAAAAGCACTTTCTGAAAAACAAGAAGGAATACTTGTGAACGGCGAAGTCATCAATAATTTGCGATATGCGGACAATACAGTACTCCTAGCTTCTAGTCAAGAAGATCTGCAAACACTACTTGATAGTGTCGTTAAGAGTTGTAGGAAGGCAGGTCTGGATCTTAACATAAGGAAAACTAAAATACTCGTAATAAGTAAACAACAGAAAACCGTCTATATAATATGTAAATAATACCAAACTTGAGCAAGTTGATAAAATCGTCCAGCTTGGACAGCAATTAAATTGTAACGCAGAAAATCACGGCGAAATTAGATCCAAAATAGAGCAGGCTAGAGCTGCTTTTAGAAGGATGTCCAAGGTGTTATGTAACAAGGACCTAAAATTGGCATTAAGTATCCGCCTACTTCGCTGCTACGTGTTCTCGGTCTTAGTTTATGCTGTCGAGTCCTGGACTGTGAATAAAATCGATCTTAATTGCCTTGAGGCTTTCGAAATGTGGTGCTATAGAAGAATTTTAAAAGTTTCCTGGGTGGAGAAGATTCGTAACTCCACAATACTAGAACGTCTCAGCAAGACTACTGAGATCATAAAAAGCATCAAGCAGAGAAAGCTGGAGTATTTCGGACATGTAATGAGAGGTCCCAAATATAGGTTGCTACAAAATATCATGCAAGAAAAAATGGCAGGCAAACGCAGGCCAGGACGAAGAAGAACCTCATGGTTGAAGAACTTGCGAGATTGGTATGGTGTTGATACAAGCATGCTATTTAGGATGGCAGTGAATAAAATTAATATAGCTATGATGGTAACCAACGTTCTGAAAGGACATGGTACATGAAGAAGAAGAAGAATGGGTTGTAGATCAACAATACAATAAAATAAAAACTGGTAACGACTGTACTCAGTATATTGCCAAAAATCAAGTAGGCTGTGAAGACATATTAAATTCCTTAGCAACCAGACAGTAAGTTCGTAGTTACCATTGTATATGTTAATATTAAACTGATTGGTTTTGTCACATCGATTTAGTCACAAGTCTTTACTAATATTTCTTTTAAGAAATATTACTCTAATAGAAATTATTTGAAATTACGATGGTGCTGTCAGAAAAACAGCGAAACAATCTTAGCTCTAGGTTTAATACTCTAGAAGATACGCAATATAAATTTCAAAATACGGAAGTCGCTTGTCATTATAAGAACAGATGAAGAGATCTTACTTATTAGATACTTACACGTGTAAAACACTACTAGTAAACCAGCTGTAAAAGTAAACTGATCAATGAGTAATTTCTTTGCTGAAATTTTTAATGTTGTCCCTGTAAATTTTTTATCTAGAAATCTGTACCTAAAACAGAAGATCTTATTTTAACTGACTTTACTATAGTAAAAATTAAAATAGTCATTTTTACTTTACTTTACGCCGGCTCCACACGGAACCAACGTTGGCCACAACAGCGTTAGTCCAATGTGTGTACTGACAAAACTGTGTTGGAGCCAATGTTGGCGCCAACGTTTTTTGACTTGTTTTAACGTTAAGAGTTTTCCGTAGACTGTCGGTTTTTGCATACACATCAAAGAGATTGGTGCCAATAGGCCGGCTCCACACACGGGATCCAACGTTGACGCCAACATTGGAGCCAACGTTGGGTCAACTGTGTTCCCACGTTCGGTGGGGCATCAACACATTTTGTTAAGTATTGGGGTGATATCAGTCTGTTCCCTCTAGAGCCAACGTCAACATGTCCGACATGCAAATTGTAGCCGCTGCGACTGTCGTGATAATGAGTGCATATGACTATATTTTGATACAAAAAAGGCGAATGATATTCATGCTAATAATAATTTTCTAAAAAAAAAATATTTTTTTGTATTATTTTACGAAATACAGTCCAATATATGAAAACTCTTTTTGCAAAATTGAGGTACTTTGGAATTGTAAATTTCTTTTAAGAATAAACACTTTCAACTATCTATTCCCTGATTTTTTTTGGGTTTTGGGGAAAATTGTGTGTTTATTGATTGGGTTCGAAAGTGATCAGATGATATCGACACCATAAGATGTTATAATTTTAAACATTGGTTGACTTTATATACACTATTTATTCTCCATTGATCGGAACCGAGGATATAGCAGAAAAAAACTACAAAAGTATCTAAAGCACTGATTATGCGAGAAGTAATCATTTCTGGGTCACTACTGCAGCGATGGATTAATGCATGGATGCAGGATGATTTATAACAAAGTTTTGGTGATTAAAAATCAATATTCCATAAACTGTAAAAATGTTTGATACTCTAAAGAGTCTAAAGCATCAGTTTCACAGATATCTTATATGTTACACAAATTTTACAGTTTTCCAAAACTTATTCAAGGAACAAATAGAGGGCACGGGACAGGATTTCTTTATTTTCTTTTAAAATTTTAAATACAAATTAAAACTTACCTACCAAGTTGCTATCAACGGACCACCTATCCCGGTTCCATAAATGACATATTTGACAATGGTGTCGGTGTCATATGGTTCTATCGGTTGCTAAATTAGAAAATATATATTTAATTTTATTTTAATTATTTTAAATGAGAAAGTTTATAATGTTATACACGTGAAAAAATCATTCATATACGTCACAAAAAATCTGCACAAACAAAATGCAGTGTTTAAAACGAGAACCGTAGAAACATAGGAACTTTTGTATGGATGTTTCACATTTCTAGTACAGTCATTCGGGGTAACTTTTATTCACAGGGTCTAACTTTGCACCATTTACTTTTTTTGATATTAGTGTACGTTATCTGCGTACTTTCGAAGTGCGAAACTTTCATGGCTGCGTAATATTAGACAATGGTGTGGTTTCACAGTAGAAGAATTATTTCGCGCAGCAGCCGACAGAGAAAGCTTTCAGGAAATTGTAAACATGATGACGGCCAACGTCTGAATACGGACACGGCACCCAAAGAAGAAGAAGTACGTTATAAGTAGTATCCTTGCTGTTAAATCTGTTTAATTTGGATAAATTGCAATAGATGTCTCTGTCATTGACATTTCCGTTTAGTTTAAAGGCATGTTGTATTGTGTCAACCTTGAGTTTTTATACGGTCTATAAAGTGCTATGCTATAAACAATAATTCAAAGTGATTACTTATAGCACAGAACACTAATTTAGTATTCTGTGCTTATAGCGATTCTGTCGAAAAAGTAAGTACGCAGGGTATTTTAATTATTTTATTAATGATTTAGCATCACTTTCGGTACATCAGAGCAGGCCCGTTCCTAGGGTAGTGAGCGCCTGCGTGCAGGATTTTTTGTGCGCCCCCATATTATGTTTTTAAGATACCTATATCATAACATGTTCTTGTGATATGATTGAAAATATGATATGAATTTAAAAAGAAAAATAAAACGAACCATGTTTGAAAAAAGGTTTTATTTTCAAAATTAAATAAAGAAAAAAGGTCATTTTAAAACAATATTATTATGTAAGTTAACAGTAAGAAAGAAAACACTAAATTCGCAAATTAGTAAGGCATTCTGGAATATAACATGAAACAATAACGGAAAGGAGATACTCTCAATGAAAAAAAACTTTATTAAATAATACATAATATGCCACGTCGTGCTTTCACAGATGCAAGCTCATTAATCATTTCATTGTGATCAATGGCTTCACAAATTTTATTTTCAATTGAAATGACTGTCAAATCTGATAGCCTTTCTTGGCACATTGATATTCTTAAATAATTTTTTATGAGCTTTAGCTTTGAAAAACTCCTTTCGCCAGGTGCCACCGAAATTGAAAGGGTCAGGAATATTCTCAAGGCTATAAATAGATTTGGAAACAAGGATTGTAAATTTTTCTTTGTTATATAATTTAAAATATCTATGGGCGAATCCGAAATTTTACCAGAGTCTGTGATTGGGTTAAGAACTTTGTATGACAGAATTTCATTATGCAAATCAAGACCATCAATATCTTTGCATACGTTTCCTTCATGTTGAATTTGTAAAGCTAAATCCAAATCCATACATGATCTCTTAATCACATCAGAATCTAGATTTTGAAAATTACCCAAAAATCCAAATAAATCGTGGCACTTATCTATTCCCCAAAGCGTTTTTGTAGGGATTGAATTGTTGTGTCCAAAATTTGAAAATAAAAACTGATTTTAAATTTTTGTTTTGGATCGAATACTGTTTTATTTGTACCTTCATACGAAAATTAAAACTTCGTCTTTCTTTGTCTTAATAATGGAAATGTTTGCTCTGCATCACTTTTTTCTGCTTCTGCTACAGCCTCATTCATGAAAATCTCAAAATGTTTGTCTGACCTCTTTTCAGTGAAATAAATAATAAGATTTTTTATTTTTGTGTGGCATTCATTTAAAGTTGTATTTGGATTCTGGACCATTTTACTTACAATATTAATTTTTGTTAATTCATCATGCCAAATTATAATAGAAAAAAATGAATTTGAACGTTTTAGTTTTGTCTAATAATGACCTTGCTGAATGTTTCGTGTTCATATCTCTTGAATTATCTTCCACCAAATCGTGTAAACTTTTACAAATTTCGAGGAATTGAAACCTAAGAGGGCGAATGGCTTTGACTCTGCTTTCCCATCGTGTTTCACTTACTGATTTTAAAGTTAAGTTTGGTACATTCCTTTTTAAAATGTGCCATCTGTAGGGTGAAGTAGAAAAAAAATTGAACAACCTGAATAATTAAAAAAAAACCTACAGTCTTATATGAAATTTTAGCTGCATCATTGACACTTAAATTAAAAGTGTGAGCTGAACAAGGCAAAAACATTGCTCTGGGATTAATTTTTAGAATTTGAACCTGAAGGCCCACATGCTTGCCAAACATATTTGCCTCATTGTTGTAAATTGTTGTAACCCTGACCTAGACCAGAACAATAAACGAAGCGAATTATGACCGTCAGCTGCTCAACATGGCTAGTATCTGGAGATTCATCCAAAATAATTGAGTAATATCTTGCTGTTCTGAGGCAACTCAGAATTTCTTTCTAAATATTTCTTTGATAATAAATGAATTAATTCATTTTGGAAGTAATTGCTCAAAATGTGGCATATTTTGGCACAACCCTTTAGACCTTCGAATATTGGTCAGGTGTTCCATCATAATTGGATCGAATTTAGCAATCATTTCAACTAATTTCAAAAAATTGCCATTATTAGTCTCATAAAGATTCATACTGTCACCCCTAAAAGCTAAATTTTGGCCAGCTAAAAACTGCACAATACAAATCATTCTTTTAATGACTTCACGCCATCGCTGTTTTTCAATGTCATAATATTTTTGTTGCTTTTTATCAATAGTACATTCTTTACTCAAACGCAATTTTAACTCGTGCCATTTTTGAGCGCTTTTCATACGTTCCATGCTATTTTCATGACGAGAAATATTAACAGAAAGGTCTAACCCATAAGAAAAATCTAACGACTGAATTAAAACGTTACGGTTTACTGCGCAAACGACAATTTCGTCAGAGACCGGCGCATCGCGCATCCTTTCTTAAGACAACCACGCTGGCGGCATGCCGGCAACACAAAACATTAAAAGTGAGCATCGTGCGGCATAAGACGGCGCGTCGTATGCTGACACTAATAAAATTGTAGGGTGGTAATTTAATTAGTAATTTTGGTATTATAATAGGGAATAGTAAACGGATGAAGTGATTGCTTTAGCACTTACCGGGGAAATACTGAACACTGACTTTTTTGTTTTAGAAGTGAGAATATTTTTTTAATGGTAACCAAATATTTGGCGCCCCTAAAATTTAGCGCCTGCGTGCGGTGCATTCATTGCATACCCGCCAGAAACGGCCCTGCATCAGAGCTTCAAGTTTCATTAAAATAATCCGGAATGGCAGCAAAAACTGGCCAGCCTGATAATTTATATGATTTCAGGCTAACTTTGCACCACATTGAAACTGGTTCAAAGTTACCATGACGATTTAAAATTGCAGTAAAATTTATTTATTGAATTTAATTTTGTATTTCTGGACTTCCCGAAATGCCGAAAAAACAGATCCACAGTCTACATACTGGAGTCCGTCGGTATGGAACTAAAAGCCTATATACAGAGCAACACCTACAAACAATACAGGTTAAAAGTGAAAAGCAGGCCTCAAAACAATACGATATCCCGCGTAATACAATTCGAAATAAATTAAAACGAAATCATTCAAAAAACGTAGGAAGACCTACAGTATTTTCTCAAGAAAAAGAAAACTTGATAGCCAAGCATGTTATTTCTTTAAGTGATAATGGAATTCCAATATCTTTATTTGATGTGAGATGCATTGCACAAAGTTACCTAAATTCTCAAGGGAGAAAAGTATAACAGTTTAAGGATAATTTACCAGGCTGGGATTGGAGCCAATTATTTTTGGAGAGAAACCGCACAGAACTTGCTCAACGATTTGAAAGGAATATTTCGAGAAGGAGGGCTCAAGTAAATGAAGAAATAATAAGTAAATTTTTTGATAACTTGGAGATAGAACTTTCTGATATCGCACCCAACAATATTTACAATGCCGATGAAACAGGGTTCCATGACGTTCCAACAAAAAGAAAACTTTTATTCAGAAAGAGGATGCAGGAATCCAAAGAGAATCATAAATTCAACGAAGTCTTGTTTTATCACTTTGTGTTGTGCAAATGCAGATGGAGCGTTTCTACCTCCATATGTAATAATGAAAGGTAGTCTGAAGTGGTCGGATTGGATTTTTGGTGCACCTAATGGTACGAAGTTGAACACCTCAAAATCGGGGTGGATTGAAAATTTTGTATTTGATGACTGGTTTGGGACACATTTTCTACCGTACGCCAACAAAAAAGGGAAGAAAGATCTTGATAGGCGACAACACCCGCAAGGGAACAAAATATTCATTTTCCTTCCGAACTCTAATCACTTACTGCAACTGCTGGATGTGGGGTATTTTGCCAGTCTTAAAACATATTGGCGCCAAATTTTAACCCAGTAGAGAGCGACCAAGGGAGGAAGAAAGACAGTAGCTATGCCAAAATCAGTATTTTGTCAACTTCTCAAGCAACCCCAGACCTCGGAAAGGACACTGAAGCTCGTAATTTCAAAAAGAGGTTTGATTATTCAAGAATTTATTCCACTGACAGAAAAAAGGCATTGCTAAAACTTCCATTGTATGCTCGACCAATGGTTGAAATAAATAAAGATATCGGAAAAGAATTTAAATTATACATAGAAAAGATTCGTGAAAATGATTTGCAAAACGTTACGAGAGCAAAAAAAATCTGGCTTCCAATAATTGCTGGAAAAAGTGTTTCAGTCTAAGAAGTAAACCAGTATTATCAAAACAGGAGTTTAACTACTAGCAATACTGGAAAATCTACACCAAGAGGTGGACAGAACCCACAAGATGTAATAAAACCACGAGGTGGAGTAATAACACGATGTGGACCAAAAACACGAGGTGGACCAAAAATACGAGGTGGATCAAAAATACGAGGGGTCATAGATCGCAAGGATCTATTACGACCAACAGAACTGTTGAAGAAGCAGAATACATGCCTGCAGTTAGGGACAATGTGCAAGAAAATGAAGACGTTGACGAGGTAAATCAAGAACAGATGCTGGATTATGGAGATCTGCACGGTCAGAAAATTTTGGAAGAAACCAATATGACTGAAATTTTAGTCGAGGACTCAATTGGCTACAATTTTGACATTGACAATATGCCAGTAGATATTGTACTGGCAGAAAGGACAGACCAGGATCAAATCGTCAGTAATGAAGATGAACACATAGTAAGTAGAATAAAGGAAAATAAAGTTAAAAATTGCAGTGAAGTAAACAAGGAACGCAAGACAAAACAGAACAAACTGGAAAATCAGCAGAAAAGAACTTCGCATTCCCCTCAATTATTTTCCTTGGGTTAAATTCAAAACAAAAGGATCTGGCAGAAGCTATTAATTTTAAAGATCAAGAAATATCTTCTGGATTGTGTTATTTTTGTACTTTAAATGATTCTATGCATTCATTAGATATCAAATGTAAGAAGTGCGTAAGAATATTTCATTTAAGGTGCATTGAAAATAACAAACTTCACAAATCAAATTCCAATATGTTTATTTGTACCTCTTGTTTAAAGAAACTGTCATTCACCTATCGAGTGAAAAATGTAATATTTCTCTTAATAAATAAATATTTTTAAATTAGTTTTAGAGTACATATTGTTGAATCAACCCATGAACAATCATATACAACAGAATGGTAACCAGAACATTTTGTGCTGTATAACAACTGCGTAATTTTTGTACGTCCAAAGTAACCTAATGCACTCTTGCAAAGTTGTCCTGATAGTTTAAAACACCAAATATACAGGGTGTAACGCCAGCCGTTTTCAAGATACAGGGCGTTAAAGAAAAAAAATTTTACGCATTTTTTACGATTTTGCTGATAAATTCCATGAATTTGTTTTTATATCTGATTCTCATAGAAGGCGTTAGTTACACGGATCGTACTAAATATTAGTCAATATAACTTTTTTAAGAGTATAATTATTAATCAAAATTTCAAAAAAATTATGAAGTAATAATTGATGCTGGTAGTAATGATAAAGTTCTAATAGGTATACCCTGTATTTTCTCCAAGTGTGCCATGGAAATCTGACATTGATTAATTGTTATGACGATAAATCAACAATAGTTAGAGTTTTGAAACCTTGTTATTTGTAAAATCAAATCAAAATGTACTCAAATGCTGAATACACTGACATGTTATTAACCTTGGACGAATTTTTAGGATGTTCTAGTGCAGCTGTGATACGTTATGCAGAAAAGTTTCCTAGAAGAAACTTACCAAGTAAAAAAACATTTAGATCCGTTGAACAACGTTGTCGAGAAACTGGGAATGTGAGAACAAATAAAATAAATTCTGGTAGACCAAGAACAACAAGAACAATTAATAAAGAAAATAATATTTTAAATTTACTTGATCAAGATACAACAGTTAGCGTAAGGAATATAGCAAGACAAACAAATACTTATTCAAGTACTTGGAGGATACTGAAAGAACAGCAATTACATCCTTATCATTACAGACAAGTTCAAGAGCTCTTGCCAGATGATCTACCGGTTAGAGTGGATTTTTGTGAAACATTGCAACAATGGACAGCCCACAATCCAAAATTTTTAAAATGCATTCTTTTTACGGACAAGGCTACCTTTACGCGACAAGGTATGTTTACAAGACAAGAGGGGTTACTTTTTTTTGAAACACCCTGTATGGAATTTTCGTTATAAATCGAGATATGGTTCAAAGTTACACTCATAGCGGGTCTAACTTTATGCCAAAATTTTTTTTTCTTGATTATACTTGCTACTGTTGCAAATTTTTAAGCGTGTAAGACATTATCCAACTATACAGTCATAATATAATATAAAAGGACAACTAAGGAGGTCAGTGTAAAAAATAAATCAAGAAAATATTTAAAAAGTGGATCAAAGTTACCCCGAATGGTTGTAGTATTTATAATATACCTACTTGGAAAACAAAAGCATGAAATTAAAAATGTGAACTAATATGAATAATAGTGAGAAATTATTATTGATATACATTATTCTTTCGAGATGATGAAGTGGTGATTGCATAGAATCTTAGAAAAGGATATAGGATATAGAGGATTTGGAGATAAGCAACGCAATAATACCAGCTAAGGTATAAAAAAGACCTGGGCTTAACAATATCAAAAGCAGCGTCAACAGAAAACGATACTAAACAAAGTCTAGGAAAAATACAGATATAAAATCCATTGTGTACAAAATATTGTAATATACTATGGTGCAAAAAATTGGAAAAACAACAAACAGCAGTAAGAAACCTACAACACAGATGAAATTCTTTTAAAATGTTAGCAAAAGTCAAAAATGAACAGAAAAAGGATTAAAGTAATATGGACATGTAAGAAAATCTAGTAGAAAATACAGATGTATAAAACCGATTACAGAACAGAAAATGGCAGCAAAGTATTGTACAAGAGAATACAGTAAAGAAAACTTTAACCAATACTACAACTAAAGGAGTTATTTAAAACCACCATATATCATCATTTAAAATCCTTGTAAATTATTAATACATCAAACACAATAACTTTTAAAATTTATGTACTTACCGAAAGTTTTTTGGATAAAGTTTGTTGTGAAAATTCCGAAAATGTACACAAGGTTCCATATATAATTGAATTTGTAATAATTGGACGTTTTACTAACGATGTTTTTATAAATAATCTAATGCTGTTCATGCTGAAACAATAAATTCACTATTAACAAGAGTGTTGAGATATCTAATCCATAAACAATTAAAAATTTTAAATTCGAAACTCCTGTTAAAAGAAAATTTCAAGGCCGGATTTTAGAATACATTTTTACATAAAACAGACATTTAATCAGAGGTAATCAAACATTTTTATCTATGATTGTATGTAACTATTCAAATACAACTTGCTTCTTTAGTGGAAATGTTTGCTTGTATAGTAGGCTAAGAATATTTCAATACATCTTGGCACACTGGGCCTTTAATAAGGTTTTTTAACATCCAATGTTTATTGCAATATGTCTCATTGCAAACAATAATCAATATGCATAATTTATGTACAATAACATAGTGGCATATCTGCCCAGTGGCGAGCAATCAGGTAGGACATATTAATATAAATTTAATCTATGATATAACAATTAATTTAAACTTCAACTTAACAAACAAAGTTTAATAGAGATAAACAATACAGACAACACATATGAGTATTACAAGACTAAAATAAATCGAGAAATATTTTAGAAAACACCAGAATAAAAACTTATTATTTTACCGTACTATGGCAGTATGCTTTGTTTCTTCAGATTTACTAGAGGTCCAAAGGGTCTGGTCGTTTTAAGCTTCTTACGTATGAAATGTTGAGCAGATCCGTGGCCAGCGGATTTGGATAACAGGATAGTCTGGTCTTGTATGCAGAGTTTACAGCAGATATTGCTTCGCTAACTATTGGTAACTGTAAATCGTGATAGTGCTGTAATTTATGGTTCGTAATATACAAAGGGGCATTGCAGATCTGACGCAGCACTTTCGATTGGAATCGATGAAGTTTCTGTATGTTGGTATTACTTGCTGTACCCCAGATTTGTGCTGCATATAACCATATCGGTTTTAAAATACATTTATAAATTAGAAGTTTGTTCTCCAGGTTAATATTTGATTTTCGACTCATGTAACAATACATTTTCCTGTAGACTAAGTTTAGTTTCTTCCAGGTATGGATGCCTCAAATTTGCTATGGAAATAAATTCCCAACCAAGTATTTAACGACGGTATTAACTGGTAGTGGAGTGTTGTTTATAGAAACTAAAGTAAACGTTATTTGTGTTAATTTTAAACTGTTAACTTGGACTCGCTACAGTTTAAACCAGCTCTCTAGTTTAAGTAGGTGATTTTGCAATACCTGAGATATTTCGATGGAATAATTGCAGAGATGCTGAAATATGGTGGAAAAGTGGTAATTAATACTCTACATTCCTTTTTTAACAAGATATTAAAAGAAAAAAGAATCCCAAACAACTGGAAGGAATCAGTAACCATTATCCTACACAAGAACGGGGATAAAGCAGATATAAAAAACTATCGTCCTATAACACTCCCCAATGTAATGTATAAACTCCTAACAAAAATTTTAACCAATAGATTGACGACAAAATTCGATGGATACCAGTCGAAAGAACAAGCTGGTTTTAGAAAGGGATTCAGCACAAGTAACCATTTACTAAGTATGAAAATACTTATAGAACGAGCAAATGAATACCACATTCCTCTATATATGGCGTTCATAGATTTCGAAAAGGCTTTCGACAGTGTCGAACATTGGGCAGTGAAAAGTTCTTTGATTAACAGCCGAATTGACCACAGATATACGGAACTAATAACCAATATATATAAGGAAGCCAAAACAACAATTAAAGTATATGAAGGAACAAAATCATTACAAATAAATAGAGGCGTGAGACAGGGTGCTACAATATCACCGAAACTTTTCAATCAGGCTCTTGAAGATACTTTTAAAAGATTAGAATGGGAAAAAAAGGTATATATATTTGTGGACAAAGCTTGAACCATCTAAGGTACGCTGATGGCATCGTATTGATAACCGATAAAAAAGAAGAATTATTTGAAATGATGAAAGAACTGGACGTAGAAGCTGGAAAGATAGACCGTAATATGAATTACAGCAAGACCAAAACTATAACAAATACAGATGAAGACATCACAACGAGAATCGGACAAGATGAAATAGAACAAGTTAAGGATTATATATATCTTGGTCAAACTATAAAACTTAACAAAGAGAACCAAACAGCAGAGATCAAGAGACGAGTTAGACTGGCATGGGCGGCATTTGGCAAACTAAGCTACATTCTTAAAAACAAAAGATATCCACAGCATCTTAAGACCAAAGTATATAATCAATGCGTACTCCCTGTTCTTACTTATGGTTCCCAAAAGTGGACATCTACAAAAGCAAACATGAACAAAATCATAAAAACCCAAAGAGCAATGGAAAGACAAATGTTGCACATAAGACTAATGGATAAGAAGAGACACGAGTGTATAAGAGAGAAAACAAAAGTGAGGGATGTTAGACAAGAAGTTGCAAAATTGAAATGGAGATTTGCCGGACACAATATAAGACAAAAAGAAGACCTTCTTCTTCAAGTTCCACTCCTATCGGAGATTGGAAATCATTCTGGCAATTATAATTTTATTGGTTGCTCGCCTGAATAGTTCAACTGAACTGCATCCAAACCACTCACGGAGATTGCGTAGCCACGAGATTTTACGTCTTCCTACGCTTCTTCTACCTTTGATTTTACCCTGCATTATATTCCTTAGTAGTTCGTACTTAAGACGTAAAAAGAAGACCGATGGAACAAAATTCTTATAAGTTGGAGACAGTGGGAATATAAACGAAGCAGAGGAAGGCCCCAAATGAGATGGGCAGATGATATCAAGAAGCACGTGGGCTCTAGATGGATGACTGTAGCGACAGGCAGAGAAGAATGGAAAAGGATTGGGGAGGCCTATGTCCAAAGATGGACCGAAGAAGGCTAATTAGATTAGATAGAGATATTTCAGTTGCTGTAGAATTTGAAGCCATGATAACTGTGTCATCGGCGTATGTAGCGAATATTGCATTGGTCGTGATTGAAAGATCTGATGTGTATATTAAGTAGAGGGTGGGTACTAGTATGCTTCCTTGTGAAACTCCGAAACATATAGGAAACAGGTTAGTGATTTCACCCCCTCTTTTGACTTGAAAGAATGGATCTGTCATGTAGAATCTTAAAAGTGAACTTATGGGATGAGGAAATGTGGATTAAATTTTGCAGATAAGACCAACATGCCAAACCTTGTCGATTGCTTAAGAAACATCTAGAAATGCCGCAGTAAAGTAATTTTTGTGTTAAAACGAATTTCTAATAGTCTTTGCCATCCTATGATCGATAGACAGCTCCGAAGGACTAGTTGGGGAATCCAGCACCTGGTCCTTCGGAGCTAAGGAGTACCTCAGAAGCTTTGTGCAGTAAGAGCAACCAAGGTGGTTCTCTTGACAATGGATAGAATTAAACATTAAATTGGTAAAAGTATTAATTAAGATTAGTCAAAATGTATCTTTATTAAAAGGAATAATAGCCTATTGCACTGTAGGAAATATCAGTTATAAGTTTATTGTTTATAGATAAGAACAGTAAAGCTTTATGTCATATTCAACGATGGCAACACCGCGACTTAGAACAATTGAAAGGTTGAATAAGTAGATATAAGTTTGATTATTACTTACAATAGGTACAGCATCTAATTATTTTTAGCACACTCACTTACTGCCAACAATACTGGCCACAAAACTAGGTAATAGAGAAATAGTCTATATTAAGAAATTAACTGATTGGTCGCAAGCTTTTGCTTGTCGGACCTTTTCTTACGAAGGTTGTTTGACGACTATATTATTTTTAGAGGAACTTGTTGTTTGTTTTTCGTTGTTAATCGTTTAGGGCCGAGATTGGACTGTCATCATTAGAGTCATCAACTTCAATTCGGTCTCCATTCGAAATTAGGCCACTGTCAATGGAATATTTTAAAGTTCGAAAAAGAAGAGCTCACTTCTTATAATTATATTTTTAATTTAGACAGAAGAAATTTGTTTTCGATCCAGATCTTTTGCGTATGTAGCTCTGAGGAGCTACATACTCAGGAGCTAAAATTCGATTTTACGATCAGCGAGCATGGTCTTCATGCTGTCAGCAACCAAAATGGTTTACGCCTGATTGAAATCGCAGCATCATTGGAAAGGGTGGTAGTACAAAGACAACAATATCAGCGAAGAAACTAAAAGAAGAATAGTGCTTTCCAATAAGTCCTATTATGGCTTGTGGAAACAGATGGCCCCAAAACTACCCAGAAAAATTAATGTTACCATATATAAAACACTAATAAGACCAGTGTTAACATAGGGATCAGAAACGTGGTCACTTACTCAGAACGACCAAGAACTGCTTAAACGTTTCGAGAGAAAAATTCTAAGGAAAATATATGAAGGAGTCCAATTATACAGAAGTTTTGGGGAACCTGACGTAAAATATATTAAATTAGCACGCCCTCAATGGAGAGGACATGTAATTAGGCGAGATGAAGATGCAGCGATCAGAAAAATTTTCGGCCAAAGAGGACGAGTGGGAAGACGAGCCAGAGGAAAACCAAAACTTAACAAAGTATCAAGATAACATAGAGGATGATCTAAAATCCATCGGAGTTAAAGCATGGAAAAGAGTTGCTAGAGACAGGAGCGAATGGAAGATTGTTCTGAAGAAGGCTTTGGATCATAACGAGCTGTAATGCCACTGATGATGATTCCATTTAACTTCAAACAGTCATTATATTGCGAATAAATACAAAATAATGTTTTTATCCCTGTGTATTACATTAATACAATCGGTATATTATGTAAAATAAAAGATTTTTGAAAGCCAGACTTTTTACTATTTCTAAACGTATTTCCTTTGCTAAAGTAATGCCAACTGAATGAATCAAACTGATGAAACAATCATTTTTAGAGTAAAATTAAAAGAAAAAATATATCAAAGCTACACTAGTTAAAAGTCTAATGATTTATGCTATTCATAAGCGGGTGATAAATTTCAAAAATTAAAAATTACGCTTATGAAATGAAATATTAGCATTGCTGCTGTTTAATATTCGAGAGTAATAAAATAAAGGCGAAAAAATAGGAAATCCAGCTATGAGCCAACTTAGAAACTTATGAATTTACATAATTGCATATGCAAATTCTTTTTATCCCAGCAAGGGAGATAACACGTATTTTTATTCTTAAAGTATCGTGTAAAACATATTAGCAATAAGAAGACGAATAAGTTGGTTTTTAGTTATCGTAGGATTAAAAAAAATCCGAGAATGGATGAAAAAAACCAAATTAAACACAAAGCAGGAAATAATACATTTTAAAAAACCAGCATGCATTCAGTGCAAACATCTGCGATGGGTTTTAGATGCGCTTAAATCCACACATAACAAAAATCTCTTAGATCAGTGTTTCCCAAACGTTCTCAGATCGGGGACCTCTTTTTTTTATTGTTACATACATTCTTCTTAGAGTGCCGTCTCCCGATGGAGGTTGGCAATCATAATGGTTATTTTTATTTTAGAACTTGCTGCTCTAAACAAATCAATCGATTAATTATTATTTAACTTCCACATAAATAATAAGCCACAATTAAAGATAAAAATACGTTTATTGACGTTTCAATTTCCACTTCGGAAATCGTTCTCAAAATACAAACAATAAATTGAGGTTAATAATAAATATAAATAGTTAATAAATAAGAGGTTAGTCTTCATAAATGGGTGTATTTATTTAAAAAAAAACCCTTAAAAGGGCCACATTAAAAAAAACAAACGTTTTCGGACTAAACAGTCCATCATCAGGTTTAAATTTTAAAATTGCTAGGTTAGAATGCCTGAGCCACCAAAATACATGGGTAAAAACCCTTTAAATTACATATAGTTGTAAAAGATTATACATCATGTTATTAAAAAAATGTGATGTTCAGTATTAAATTAAATATGACTTCAGGTAACATACATGGCTGAATTGAGTTCCAGAGCAGGAGAGTAAACCTCTTCACACGGAGAACAACTGGTAACTGTTGTTAAAATAATAAAATCAATTGATCTGCATTGATACCAATCACGTAGATTTTTTAACCATGAGTTCTGCCTTCGGCCAACAGATCTTCTTCCTTGAATCTTTCCCTGTATTATAAGTCTCAAAATTTCATATTTTGATCTCCTCATCACGTGGCCTAGGTATTCCAGTTTTCTGGTTTGTATAGTGGTGATTAGTTCTGTTTCTTTACCAACCCTTTCCAGTACTTCTTTATTTGTAATTCTATCAGTCCATAATATTTGTAATACTCTGCGGTATAACCAGAGTTCGAAGGCCTCGATTCTTTTTAAATTACATTTTTTTAACGTCCAAGTCTCAGCTCCATATAATAATATTGAAAATATATAACAGCGAATGGTACGTAGTCTGGTTTTTTCAAACGCCACCCTGATTTATGCTTAAGAAAACCTGAAGCAACTTCTGGAGCACGGGCTATTGGATTCAATAGAGTAGCAGTATCGAATTTTTTTAATCTGCTTAATGAAATTATAAACAAGCACGAATTAGATGCCACTAGAATTTTCGACTGTGATGAAATGGGTATTAGCGTGGTTCCCACGCAGTTTTCGAAAATAATAGATAGCTGTTAGAGGACAACGTCAAGTAGGTCTTTTAAGTTCTGCTGAAAGAGGCACCACTGTCACAGCCGAAATATTTTGCTCAACTGACGGGTGTTACATGCACCCACTGTTAATATTTCCGCTAAAAAAGAAACAATGTGAATTTGAAACAGGTCTCCCACCAGGAGGGGGATGAATTAGCGACTCTGGTTGGATAACTATAGAGATTTTCGTAAAATGACTACAACAGTTCATTCTGTTTTCTAAAGCGATGAAATAACACCCAGTTCTGTTACTTCTTGAAGAGCATACATCATATACAAAGAACTTGGCCGCAATAAATCTAGCGCGTGACAATGGTGTGTTAATATTGTGCTTCCCTCCTCGTTGCTCTCACGAAATTCAATCATTGGACGTTGCATTCATGAAGCCCTTGAACTTGTATTATAAGGATGAAATAAGGAAGTGGCTCAGGTCGCATTCAAGGAGAGTGGTTCAGCTTTTTAACATATCAACACTTTTTGGCCAGGCTTTCTTAAGTACAGCAAATATGAGAACTACCATTAGTGGCTTTGAAGAATCTGGTATTTGTCCATTCAATATGAATAAATTCACCGATTAAGTATGACTTTCTACCATCAGCAACAACAGATATTCCCTTGGAAAATCCTGTTGGCAGTACAATCCAGAAAACATCTCCGGCTATACCAGAGACAACTGACTCAACGCCAGCTACCCCAGTACAGTACAGTACAGTACATGTTCATTCCCACACCCGTAGTTTATAATCCTGTCAAAAATAATCCATCCGTACCGACAATTGATGAAAATCTTCCCCACTATTGAATGTCTCTAAACTCGGATATTCTTGTAGGCCCGATTCCCTGTTCCTACTAATGCCGACACATTTTTCAGTTACATCGCCAAGAGACCTAATTCCGTTGCCAAAAGTTAAAGTCGGAACAAAAGAGCTGTAAAAAAGCGTGGAAAGACTGCTGTCCTTACCGCCTCACCTTATAAGGTTAAACTGAAAGAATCTATAAAAAAGATGAAAGCTATAAAGGAAGCTGAAGCGACAAAAAATTAAACAGAGGTTAATGTCAAAATAGAAACTGAAACATCACAAGCAATAGAAATACGTAGACCTCTGTTATTTAATGTATATAGTGAAAGCATCTGTCAGGAAGCCCTTTTACAAGCAAACGGAGGAATCGTAATTAATGGAGAGATTGTAAATAATATTCGATACGCGGACGACACTGTACTAGTTGCAAAAACAGTAGAAGAATTACAAAGATTACTTACAGACATAAATATTGCTTGCAACAATTATGGTATAAATATCAATATTAAAAAAACCAAGTATATCGTCTTCAGTAAAAACAGGACACAACCAGCGTATATTAGTATAAACGGCACTCAAGTTGAAAAAGTATCAAGTTACAAATACTTGGGAACTTTAATAAACGAAACTGGAGACCAAAACAGTGAAATAAAAAGACGTATCGAAATTGCCAGGGACACCTTCATAAAGATGAGAAAATTCTTCTGCAACAGAAATATAAGCATCCCTCTACGATTAAGAATGCTGAGAGGCTATGTATTTAACACGCTATTATACGGTGTAGAGGCCTGGACTCTCAAACAGAACAACATGAAAAATATTGAAAGTTTCGAGATATGGTGCTACCGTCGAATGCTGAAGATTAGTTGGGTTGAAAGAATAACAAACTGTGAAGTAATACGAAGAATAGGAAAAGACCCAGAGATTTTGTTAACGCTAAAGCGAAGAAAACTCGAATATTTTGGTCACCTGATGAGAGGACATAAATACGCATTACTTCAAAATATAATGCAGGGAAAAATAGAAGGAAAACGGAATCCAGGTCGTAGAAGAATGTCATGGTTGCGTAATTTGAGAGAATTGTTTGGCTGCACCACTAATGAACTCTTTAGGTCAGCCGTAAACAAGGTCAGAATAGCCTTGATGATTTTTAATCTCCGATAGGAGTGGCACAAAAAGAAGAAGAATGTTTAAAAATTATGAAAACAAACTAGAAAAATTGAAACTCAACGAAAAATGAAAGAAAATATCAAACAGATTAAAACTAAGGCAAAGAAACAAAAAATATCTGAAACTGATTCCGAATATAGCGCAGAAGAAGAAGATAGGGCCTGCTTGTATTGCCATGATTACTACTTATAGTACTAAGTCCAATAAAGGCTGGTGTTCTTGTAGCATTTGTAAGAAATGAGCACATCTAGCATGTGCTGGTTTATATAGTGATGATGATGAAAGCGTTCTCGTCTGTGAACTTTGCCAATGACATTAGCTATAGTATGGGGGCTATTGGGTACCCCATTGTGCCCCGGGGTGGGGCAGAATGGTATATTTCCCTTTATTTTTATAATGCACATTTTTCTCAGAAAATACATTTTTAAATCACATTTTTATAACTTTAGCTAATTATATTTTCCTTGTAAAGAAATAAACAAACATAAGATTTGTTAAATGATGGTGTAGTTTCATTAAATATCGCTTAAATTACTATCAACCTTAGGTATCCCGTTCCACCCCGGGTTCCTCTACAAATTAATTTTTCGGTTATAAATTCTACATAGTACTTTTGAGGCAATTAGGAGTTAGCAATGTTTTAACTTACTATTAATTACATTGATCTACTTACATTTTAAGACAACTAAACAAATTATATTTAAAATCTTTTTTTCATGTTATCTAACTGCAATTGCAGCTGCATAAATTTTAGTTGTATTGATAAGATTGCCAAATATTGCTGTAATCGTTGTTTTATTTCTAAAAGTCTCTGCAGTACTTCTACAATTTGCGTTTTCTTGACACTTTGATAATTGCATTTACGTTCTTGTATTGCAGCCATTTTTAAACATAAAAATGTAAAAATATAATAAAAGTGTTGTTTCTGAAAAACTCAAAATGTCACAAATGTCATTTTGATTTAGAAAACATGACAAATATTTTTTGATAGGGGATGCGAACTAAACAACCGTTAGGCGGATGTTTTCCTCAGCTTTAGTATATTATCATGATCAAATTGCTTTCAACTTCCATTCTTGAATACAAAACAAAAAAAGAATAGAAGCAAGCTAGATACATCTCTTCAATACATAAGAAAGGTACAAAAACTGATCCAGCAAATTAATAATAGCAGTAATACTAACAAAATAACACCAAACTATTACGAAACCTAGTGTAGTAGACATTAACGGCAAAAAATCTAAAGAATGTCAAGGCAGATTGACATCCCGTAGATAATTGTATTTACATTGAAAATAGACGTAGAAAAAAATGAGTACAGAGAAGTAGAAAAACTCAAGTAGCCTTATTAGACTTGGAAAAATCATATGATAGCGTGTCGATGTCACACTTTTGGAAGGAAATGACGAATTTTAAAGTAAATCTATATATATATATATATATATATATATATATATATATATATATATATATATATATGTATATATATATATATATGTATATATATATATATATACATATATATATATATATATATATATATATATATATATATATATATGTATAATATATATATATATATATATATATATATATATATACATATATATATATATATATATATATATATATATATGTATATATATATATATATACATATATATATATATATATACATATATATATATATATATATATATATATATATATATGTATATATATATATATATATATATGTATATATATATATATACATATATATATATATATATATATATATATATATATATATATATGTATATATATATATATATATATATATATATATATATATATATATATATATTCATTCATTCAAGATTTTAAGGTAAATATGTACTTACATGACTTAATGCATTCAAATTATATCAAACAATTTTTTACACCTTTAATTTTCAGTAATTTTATTAATAGCTCGACGATAAGATAAAACACAATATAAACATTACAAGTACAATAAAACACCAACAGCAACGAATTTTTTAGATGTGTTGTCGGTTTAACTACATATTCATTTCATTCAATTCAATTCAATTGGATTCAATTACGATGAATTTAAAAAGAATTATGGTAATATAAACATATAACCATAACCTTCATTGAACTCTAGTAAAAATACTGTAAGGTAAACTGGTTTGCCTGTTGATAGAAATGTTAAAAGTTAAAAAAGTAGGTGATAAAATAAAACGACACTAAGATCCATTTAAAAACCAGAAAGAAGTTAAGAGCAATTATGGTACCTGCCTGATTATGAGTGAATAAAACACGGCCAGATTACACAAGAGATTATACATACTTTAATTTCAAATATTTTTATTTGTATTTGTATGAAGTTATACTGTATTTTCGTTTACGTTCAGTTGTATAATTTTCGGTTGTAATATTAATTTATGTAGGTATTTGTATAAAAATTAGTTCTAAAAGATTATTTAATTAAGCACTAATAGTTTGCCTTTTCGTAATTATTTTTTAATTCACTGATGGAGTGCTTGAGAATTAATACAAAGCAGTAAAGTTATCCATTAATATCCATTTCCGTGTAGCTCCTACCGGCCCATCGAGCTAAAAGATAAAAGAGGGAATGTAAAGATAGTGGGGGCAAAAATATTGTTAGACAAGAAGTGCGATCTTTAGAGGCCACATTAAACAAGGAAAGAGAGTCTCTCTCTCCTTGTTTGACATCAAATTTAGTTGGGATATGTTATTGTTTGTCCCAAATGTCACATGAAATCTTATTTATATTGAAGTTTTTTAACAATTGTGTCGCATTTTAGACTATTATCGTTAATAATTAATTAAAACTTTCTCGTCTAAGACACATTCTGAAAACTATTATATAGCTACTGTTAATAAGTGTCGGAAAATTTAAATTTGGCGCATTCGTATTTCCGGATATGTCCGCCATCAGAGGCCACTTTTTTGGTCTCCCTTTCATAAGGATTCGATTCCCTCTTTTGTCTTTTTGCTCGATGTACCGGCCTAACTAACTGCTGCCAATCCCCAACTAACAATCATGCACTCCACAATCCCTAGGTGTAACAATACTCAATGCACTCAATACTCAATTTATTTAATTGATTAGTTCTTCGCGACTAAAGCAGGTGGCACCTCTGTGCTCGAACCACTGAAAGTGGGAATATTTTAGTTAGACTTTTTGGTTTGAATCGATACAAGGTGGAGAGAGCTAGACTGAACCATTATTAAGTTAATATTTGTGATACATATTTAACTAATAGAACATTTCAAGTTTCAACTGACCAAAGACGTCGACGCTTCAAGAAATTCAAGAAGGGACTCCTCGGGGCAGTATTCTCTCGCCCATTTTATACAACATTTTTGTTTCAGATTTAAAAAAAGATCCAAGAACATCTACAGGCCTTTACGCAGATGATACGGTGATATATGCAACAGGAACGGATAATAGAAGAATAGTCCAAAACGTAAAAAATCACCTAGGAAAAATTACGGAATAAACCGAAAAATGGAAGATCAAAATCAACGCAGTAAAGACAAAATTCATCATGTTTACCCAGAAAACGAGTCTAGCAGTGCTAGAAATAACAGTAGGAGGAAACAGGATACACTCAGGAGAATCAGTCAAGTACCTAGAAGTCCACCTTGACAGAAGACTAAACTTCAAGTTACACATACAAAAAACCAATTTAAAAGCAAACGCTGCTAAAAAACTAATACTTCCTTATATCTTTAGGTCCAGTCCACTATCGAAAGCCAAGAAGATTCAAGTATACCAGACCTACGTTAGATCGGTTATACGTATAGTCGTTTAATGTTAATATGTGCAATTGCACTGGTTTTCTTGCTACCTCTTTTTCTCACCTCTAACGTATTAAAGGGCTCATTATCGTCGTCGAATAATTTATAATGAATTTTATCGTCAGCTGTATATTTTAAAATCCTAAGATCTGTTACTTTAGGATCTCTAATCTTATGACCAGGACGAATAGAATTATAAGGCCTATCCATTTGAGCAAAGTTTTTGAAATAGTCGAAACTTAGATACTCCACGTGGTATGGATCATCATTTTGCATTTTTACAAACAGTGACATACTCAGATGGAAGGTGGATGTCTCGATTTGTAAGCTTTCTCTTAATTGAAGCGTGCATGCTGTCACACTCCATCTGAGTATGAACCTTTTTTACTTAAAGCAGAAAAAGCATAACTTAGTATGACATTTCTGTTCTGCGTCGCACAACCATCACTATAAAATATCTCGTCTACTGGGTTTGTATCCAAGCCATTAACAAAGTTGTATGAAGAAATATGCAGATGATACTCATTTTTAGCCTAAATTGCCTTCTTTATAGAAAGTACACATATCACATTGTCCTTGCGGGGTGAAAATAGGCTTAGATTCATTTCTTTAAACTCTTTGTTAAATGTAGTGCAGCTCAGAAACTGACTTTTACTTGCCGTACATTTTTTGTACTGCAAACACAAACTCATTTTCGATTGCCAAATAGGTTCCAAATAAAGCTTGGACGATCTTTTCCGGTAGTAATGCGATTCAAGTTTGTTAAAATCAGTCAGGAACTTTTTTAAAAAGATCAATGAAGCGCTATCATTATTTAATTTTGTTTTCATTTGTGCTGCCATCCTGCTATCACAAGTACTGTTTAGGTTGCTTGAAAATTTAGAAAAAGCTTCCTTCATTCTTTCATTTATTGTATCTTCGGAAACCCAGTTCCGCACAGACCATTCGCCTATATCGAGGGTATTAAAAAAAGCTTCTTGCATATGCGAACATGTTGACCATTTAAAAAAAGACGATAAATCAGACTTTGACCTGTATGTTTTGGTTGTTTCTTTTCACTCGATTCCTTATCAAGTATTTTTCTTCTCATCCAATCTGCCTTCCAAACTTTCTTCTGATTCTTTTTTATTTGCAGTTCTTCTTTCAACTGAGACATACATCACCCTGTTCTTAACGAATATACGGTTATCTTCCCAAGATTTGATTTGCCAATAGGCTTTAAATATATCTTGTCTGTTTTTATCCGAAAATAAATAGCAAAACATACTAATATTCTGTTTTCGTACATTAAGTTTGCACTTACATCGATCTTTTATTGCTCTTTTTTTCTTCTGCTCACTAAACTTCCATTTTCCCTCATTTGTTTTCTTTGACCCTAAATAAGCTTCGCCCTGTAGTCTTCTTTTCTTGTTCGTCTGTTTCTACCAAGTCTTCCTGTCAACTAAATGTCGTTTTGACCGTTTTCATCCAGTTTTAGCTATCTCCTCAACTTCTTCTTGAGCAACATCCCCCAAGTTAAGATTAGCCCCGTTTTCACTATGTTTTTTTTCATTGAAGTCACGTCCAGCAACAGTCTTAGTTACTTCACCGAAGTCAATATTAGTTACATTTTCATTATTTCTTTTTTCATTAAAGTTAATACACCCGTCGAAAAGAAGTTCAGTCTCCTCTATTTAAATTATCTATTCCAGTCTCTCCATCAGTTTCAATAATTCCATTCAGTGCTGCTTCAACCAGATTCAACATAGTAATAATAATAAATTGAGATACTTACTTCATGAGTATCTTTGCTTAAACACACTGCAGTAAACCAAGAAGTTGAGAGGTTATGGAATCAAACAAATGACATCTGTAGATGAGAGGTTTATTTAAACTTCTACAGATTAGTTGGCAAATTATCCTCTGAGATATTAC